TGAGCCTGACCAGCCCTTGGACGGGAGACCACTAAGAAATCCCAGGTCTTGTAGGCAAGATTGGGAAGTCAAACGTCCAGGGAGTCCCAAAGGTGGGACTTTTCAAGAGGCAACTGGACTTTCTGGTTTCTCTTTGAAGACATTTTTGCTTCTCCATCTAAGAGGCTTCTTCATCTCTGCAAGGAGTATAAATCCTTCCATTCCCCACTATCCAGCCAGAGCTGAAGAAGCTTCTTGGTTGAGAAGTGAAACATCTTCAAAAGAAAAACCAGAAAGTCCAGTTGCCTCTTTGGGTCAACCATGGCCTCGATGACTGAGAATCTCTACAGACGTTTTGGAAAAAGGTACTTTGGGCAGTGACGATATTACATAGGAATCTCCTCCTTTTCAGTTGAGGACTACCTGTAGAATCTTGCAGGTTTGAAAATACCGTATAAATATCCAGCCATCTCTTTTGTCAGCCATAAGATAAGAGGGGATCCTTTCTGGGGTTGGTGTTTTTTTTTTTTTTTGGTTTGTTATGCAGCTGCAGGCTCATTCCCAGCCCCGTCACCCCACTATCTGATCTTTCCTAGGCAGCATGTTTTACCCCATTCTCCACATTCTTTCACACATACTATTACAACAACTCAGTACGGTACCTCTATTAAATCAAAGTTTTAAAAATAGAAGAAGATGAAATTATAGTTTCATTTGATGTCACAGAAGTCTTCCATAGATAAAGAACTAATAAAAGAATCCATGCAGGATACACATCTGACCTTACCAAATGCATTTATGGTTGAAATACCAAGAATCATGGACCTCATCAACCACTGTCTTACTATTTTCAGTTTGATAGACAAATGTATCAATAAATCAGATGAACACCCATGGAATCACAATTCTCACGATACATAACACAGACCATGGTGCAGCATCTAGAAACTACCGCACTCTCCTACCTAAAACCAAAAGTATGGACCCAGTATGTAGATGATACCTTCATCATAATAGAAAAGCAATTGGAGAAGATTCATCAAGCTCAAAATAGGACAGTTGTTAAGTGAGTTGTGCCTCATTTTAAAACTTTTTAAAGTGTTATTAAACAAATGACCTTGTTAAGTGAATCATTCAGTCGTTAAGTGAAACTGGCTTCTCCCATTGGCTTGACTTGTCAGAAGCCAGCTGGGAAGTTTCCAATGGTGATCACATGTCCCTAGAGTAACGCAATTGTCATAAATATATGTCAATTGCCAAGCAACCAAATGTTGATCACATGACTGTGGGGAATGCTGCAAAAGTCATAATGTGAAAAATAGTCGTAAGTCATTTTTTTCAACTTCAGACAGTCACTAAACCAATGGTTATAAGCCGAGAACTACCCGCATCAACTACAACTTCAAAGCACTAAAATTCACAAAGAAAGAAAGAAAACAACATGCTACCTTTCCTGGATATCCTTGTCAGCAGAGGAGATGATGGCAAATCAGAAATACAAATCTGTCAAAAAAAAATAACCCACACTAAGCAAGTGCTTCACTACCAAATAGTAAACAACCTCCCACAAGAGGAGCTGTGTAAGAACATACAATATCTTCCAACAAAATAGATACAGGTAATCCTCAACTTGTGGCAATTCTTTCAGTGACCATTTGAAATTACAATGGTACTGAATGAATTTACAAATTTTAGCCAAAATAAAATTGCTGCAGTGCCCCCGCAGTCTGGTGAACAAAATTTGAGTGCTTTGGCAATCCATCTGCCTTTATAACTGACATGGCTGAGGCATCGGATCGCCCCTGTGTTACTAGAAGGACATTGTTGAGGATGAGAATGCCTAAGCGGAGGTTGCTGGAGAATAATAACACACTGTGTAAAAGTAGAGAGACGCAGAGTCTGGCCCACTTGTTAGACTGTGAATTACTACAGAAGTATCTGCTGAAAGTGGTTTGTTTCTGGCCAACGATAAAGCCAAAAAGGTGTCCTCGTTTTGGTAGTTTAAGGTTAGACCTGGACACAAATAAATAAAATAAAAACTGGCCACAGGGATACTCTAGCAATCCCCTGAAGGCTGTGAGGTGGGAGAAGCCTCATTCTAATTAAGATAGAATCTGGGAAAATAAAGCTATGTTTCTGGAAAGGAAAGCCAAGCCTCACTGGAATGTAAATGATACCTATACAGGTAGTCCTCAACTTACAAGTGTTTATTTAGTCATCTGACTGGATGGTGGGGAATGGAAATCCAAAAAAAAAAGAGACAGCCATGACTTTGAGACAGCCATGACTTGGATGACTGAGAATCTCCATAGACATCTCTGAAAAAGTGACTTATGACCGGTTTTTACACTTACCACCATTATAGCTTCCCCATGATCATGTGATCAAAATTCAGATGCTTGGCAACTGACTCATATTTATGACAGTTGCAGTGTCCCAGGGTCATGTGATAACTTTTTGCAACCTTCTGACAAGCAAAATCTGTGCGGAAGGCAGTTTTACTTAACAACTGTGTTATTAATTTAACAAGGGTAATGATTCACTTAGCAACTGTGGAAAAAAAGTCATAAAATGGGGCAAATCTCACTTAACAAATTCTCCCTTAGCAACAGAAATTTTAGGCTCAATTGTGATTGTAAATTGAGGACTACCTGTTAAGAAAATTGCAGTGGGTTTCAAGCAAAATGAGAAAATTTGCTGTACATCTCAAATTCTTCTATTTCTCCTTCCAAAAAAAAAATGCCTTTTGTACTATACTGTTGTGATGAACAATTCTGAAGCACTTCAATGTATGTACCGGTATAAACTTTAAATTCATCCTGGTTAGTTCATGGACATTTTGCCCAAATCGCAAATCCTTGATTCTCAAAGCATTTGTGAAGTTGTCATAACCACAAAGGGCCACTAGGGGCTACTCTTTTAAAGAGATTTTTTTTTCTTTATTTGCTGAAGCCATACATTTCACCCTGGAACAAATACTACTTAAATGCTGAATCTGTTTCTAAAACTGTCAAATGTTTATAGTAAATGGTACTAAATGGTACAGACTGCTCTGTTCTCAGTATTACCATTGGGGTATATCTTTGAGAAGAAAGGAGCCAAATCATGTATCTGGTTAAATACTATATATTTAAATATTTAAATACTATATATATATGTTTATACTATATGTAGAAATAGCAATAGCACTTAAGACTTATATACTGCTTCACAGTGCTTTTACAATCCTCTCTAAGTGCTTTACAAAAAGTCAGCTACGGTGTAAATCTATATTTGCCCAAATCTCCTTTTTTTAAGGAAATTTGCTTTTATCTAGTTCAGTATTTAAAGAATGTTCACAGTGTGTGGACTTCAACTCCCAGAATTCTCCAAACATTGCTCTAAAAAATAAATTTTATTTATTTCATTATTTCTGGAATTAATATACAGAATGGCTCACTGTTTAGCCACAGCCCACATGAAATGTCAGACTACTCTTCACCCACAGGGCGAAATGAAGGTGATTAAATTGTAACTCAGTTAAGAATTCATCTCCTTCATTATTAAATGCCAACTGTTGGATTTGTCTTGTGCTGTACCTTTTGCTATTCATAATTAAGACTCCATGACAGGCTTCACAATATAAATTGATTAGATAATAGAGGGATCATCACTAATGTATCATCACATTGATATTTCTGGACTGCATTCTGTTTACATACTTCCCTGATGTATCATTTTAACTTCAGACCTTATTTAAATGCATGAAATAAAATACATAAAATTATGGTGTGTGAGAGAAAAAAAGAGAGATGGGTGCAATGCATTAAATCAACAAGACAAAGTAAATTTCAACTAAAGGTTGGTGGGTGTTTTTTCCTTCCTTGGACCCATTTAAATCTATTAAAGTAACCTGTTGTTTTTTATGTATTTATTTATTTTGTCAAGCAAATATAAGATAACAGGTATAAGTATAAACATAGTTAGGAATACATGGATACATATAAGAAAAATAAAAAGAAACAATAGGACAGGGATGGTAGGCACGGTTGGTGTGCTTATGCATGCCCCCTACAGGCCTCTTAGGAAGGGGATGAGGTCAATAATAGACAGTCTAAGGTTAAAGTTTTGGGGGTTTGGGGAAGAAACCACAGAGTCAGGTAGAGTATTCCAGACATTGACCACTCTGTTGCTAAAGTCGTATTTCCTGCAATCAAGTTTGGTCCAGTTTACCTTGAGTTTGTATCTATTGTGTGCTCTTGTATTGTTATGGTTGAAATTGAAGTATTCATTGACAAGTAGGACATTGCAATATATCATTTTATATATATAATGTTGTAATGGTAATCATAGCCCCGACTGTTATATAAAATTTCACTTTTTTCATGGATCCTTCCATGAAATGCAATTAATACAATGATGTTTCTTTTTGGCCTCTATATTACAGAGGAAGAACCTTTGTCTGCTTATGATTGCTAAGCCCGCACCCCACCATCACCTCTATTATATCTCAGTCCTCTATCCTTCTCATGCTTCACTGGAAAGATTGGGAAAATAAGGATACAAGGACAGGTAGCCCGAAGTAAATGGGAATCTGAATTTAATTATGCACCACATAATTATGATACATTTTATCATTTTATTTACAAAACAACATATGATATAGCATATATGTGTGCAATATAACACACTATAATGATCTGAACACAATCTGATTCC